CCCATTGAAGGATACTGTTAGGAAGTAAAGTGAAATAATATTTCTTGGCACACACTAAGTCCTGTGTAGCTTGTTATTAAGATACAAATTAGGACACTCTTCCTCCTGACCTGTCATTGGGTTTCTCTATCCTCTTGATCTCTGAGAGGGATTTTGATACTGCTTTAATGCTCAAAGTCCATGCTTCTTTCAACAAGTAGATCTGACTTTTCCCATTTCCTCCTGATCTCTACTCTTCTAGAAAAAAACACATTTGAGGGACTGGATGTACTCCATCCTCTCCTGAAATCCTTTGCCACGGCCTCTCCACAGGATGTCTTTTCCTGCTTTTTACTTCTTCTTATATCGCTACTCACTTTTCCTCTTGAATACTTTTCCTCTTGAATAAAATGCCATTTTCACCATGTGCCAATAGCTCGTGACTGTAATCCTACTTAGGAGGCTAATATCTGAGGATCCCTGTTTGAAGTCACCTTATCAGGAAAGTCCAGGAGATTCTTATCACCAATTAACCAACAAAAGAGCCAAATATGGAACTGTGACTAAAGTTGTAGAAAGCCAGCCTTGAGTTCAAGCTGTGGTACTGGCACATATACACACAGTCTCACACACACACACACATACACACAAACACATATGAACAGAAATTGTTAGTTTCATCTGATGATTGCTTTATTATTTTTCAAGGCGAACAGCACATATTTTCTCTCTGTAAATTCCCCTGGAATACACCTGGCCCTCAAAAATATCTTAATTCCTCTCTACATCGTGCTTTCTTATTAGATATTATATTTTGTCCTATTTATATATGTCCTTCTTTAGAAAGTAGAAATACTCTGAAGGTAGGGACATTTGTCTAGATCATGTCTGAGTGTCTGTTAGCATAACTTAATATTTGAAAAAGTAATATAGAGATTGGATTTTAAAAATAAATTTTAATGTTCTCTGCCTACATTTTTATAGCAGAATATATGAAATCAATAATCCTCGAAAAACATACTTTAATGTCAGTTTGTTACCAGCTCTCTTTGGCCTATTCTATGTTTGATCTAACTTCATTATGCATGTGATTGATCTATATTTCTATCATCTGAGAAGGAGGGACTACTGAATTTAGGTTCACAAGTTTCCTCAGAGGGTAATCTATAACTTTCTATGGCTTTACCTTAGCCTTTTTATTTTTATTTTTTTATTTTATTTATTTTTTATTGTGAAAATACCGTATAGAGGGGTTACAATTACATGGGCAAGATAATGAGTACATTTCTTATCAAGTATTGCTGCCTCCTTCTTTGTTTCACCTTACCATCCCTTCCTAGCTCCCAGCCCCCCTTGCAGCACCCCTCTCCTTCCTGGCCAAAGTTGTGAAGTTCGTTTTTTGGCATAACGACTTGTACATCTCATTGTTGCAATGAGTCCACCTGTATCCCTATTTAAACGATTTGTTTTTTCCCTTCCCCTCCACAAATTATACCAACATCAAATACAGTGAAAGCAGGGGTTATACCATACTAAAGCTAGCAACACAACTATGTTTGTTGCAGCATTATTTACCATAGCTACAATATGGAGCCAACCCAGATACCCCTCATTAAATGAGTGGATCAAGAAAACGTGGCATATATACACAATGGAATTCTATACCTCCATCAGAATGACATTGCCCCATTTGTTAGGAAATGGAAAGACTTGGAAAAAAATTATATTAAGTGAAGTAAGCCAGGCCCAAAGAAACATAGGTCCCATGGTTTCCCTTATTTGCAATAACTAGTATATGTCTGAAACAATCAGAAAAGGTCAGATAAGTTGATGTTGGTTGAAATGAACCCCAAGTTAAGTTTTCAAATTTTTTTTTCTTTCATGCAATTGTTTCTAATTTATAAGATGATTTCTTTATTTTGATTTTGAATTAGGATCTTTGCCTAGTTTCAGAATATTTATACTTCCACTTCCCAAGTAGATTCAATTACAGACATGAGCGACCGTATTTGGCAGTAGATATTTATTGTTGTAAGTAGTGTTTGTGTGTGTGTATGTGTGTGTGTGTGTGAGAGAGAGAGAGAGCTTGTGCAATTCCACCAAAAAATTGCCTCATTGTGAGTTTCCGTAGCACTCAGATCAAAGTCTGTGTTTTGTTTTCCAGACAACTATCAAACAATCAGGGGGCATTTGCCACAATCCTAAGTACAAGCTCAATTCAGCCACATTAGAAATGAGATGAGAAACTCTGGTGGCTGGCTCTTAGTCTCCCAAACATTCCCAAGACAATATTTTATATCTCTTTGATGTGTAATAGTAATGCATTTCTGAGCTCTGGGGAAAAAGCTCTGTCTCATCCTAAAGTCAAAAGAGCATTATTTGTGATTACTGGCTATTCCCTTACACATTTGGGGAAAAAATTGGCCAGGAATGTACAGTACACTGAAAAATCATTGAATGTGCTCAATTGCAATCACTTGGCTTTGATGTATTATTTTATATCACCACTCCTCCTTATGTCCCTCAGGGTTTCCATGTTGTGTCATGCCCCAGGCCAAGATCATCTTGCAAACATGCAAGACTCGTCCATGTGAAAATTCTGAAGAATTGTATTTTATATTAAGGGACATATAGACTCATGTTGAAAAATATGTTTTCCTTCAGATGTAGCCATTTGAATTCACCATAGCATAGATTAATCTTTGGGATTGAGTGAATACCTGCTGTGTGTGGCTGCAAGAGAGAGGAAAGGCACAGGTAGAGCAGTTTTCATTTGTTCACAAAATGACACAGTCTTAAAAATGAACTCCAAACTCCTATAAAGTTGTGAATGGTAGAGGGTAACATTGTATGCATCAGTCAGAAAGTGATCTTTAGACATTATCTTTATATTCCTGTCAATGTTATGGAAAAGTCTTCTAAAGAGAAAAATTTCTGCCAGGCCCAGTGGCTCAAGGCTATAATCCTAGATCTGTGGAGACAAAGATGGGGGATTGTATTTTAAGATGAGCTCTAGGAAAAAGGACGTTGGGAGACTATATCTCAAAGCATGGCTGGGCAAGTTGTAGACTGCCTCTTTTCCCAGCTACAAAAGGAAGGATAGCAGCTAGCCTCAGTGATGCATCCTTGTCACCTGTTATCCCCAATGACAAGGCAAAGTAGAAGGAGGAGGATCACAACCCAGGCCAACCCAACTCAAGCACAATGTAAGACCTTACTTTAAAACAACCAATATAAAAAGTGGTTAGGAATTTGGCTCAAGGGGTAGAGGGTCTGCCTACCATACATGAGGCCCTGATTTCAAGTTCTGGTACCACCCCCAAAAATAACAAAGAAGGTAAAGGAAGGAGAGAGAGAAAGAGAGGGGGGAGGGAGAATTAGTAGTCCTCTAGGAAAGTTTTATTCCAAGCATAAGCTGAATATTATTTGCATTTTTCTGGATATTGCACCCCTTAAATACTAGCTACATATGTATCTCCATGTGTTTCTTCACTCAGTAAAGTACAGATCAATAAATAACTAATTAAATTATCATTTGTAAGTTAATCATTATTCCTGTTGACTTTGGTTTAGAGAGAGCAAGAAATTATATTCTATGTGAAATTTTTGTCTTATATCTGTGACCAGTGGACATACTAAACATACTCTTGTTTGGGCTCTGTGTAGCCTGAGTATAGCTCCAATAAAAATGTGAGTCCCTATCCAAAAAAATAATTTAAAATATATAAATAGCTGGCAACAAGATTCACTTGGTAGAGAACTTGCTTTGCAAATGTCAGGCTCTGAGTTCAAATCCCAGTATTGCAAAACCAACAAATTACACTCCTTAGGGAGAAGACATTTAACCCATGTGAATATCTTAACACCACAGTGGTTCCAGAGTGATAAGAAGCACATACTTCTCCAGTAATTACCAAGATGTTGGCTTAAAGCCATGCAGGACTAGTTCAGAAAGCTTCACAGTCTGTTTGCATAGTCTCCAAACATGGGTGAAGACAAAACCTTGACTTAGTAATCAAATATTTTAGACCTTTAATTAGACTCCTGAGCAATTTGGTTAATAGATAATTCATTTGTGTTCTGTCCTTTTTTCCTCATAATTGCTTTGTGTGTGTGTGTGTGTGTGTGTATGTATGTACATGTTGACAACCAGAAAAGACACAGTAGTGGAGCCAAGAGTAAATATGACACAGAAAGTTCTTCAGTCTAAAACTTATGGTATAAACAGAAAGTGGATTGGTGCTTGTTGCTCAGGTGACAAGGCCTGGACCTATGACAATGGTATGGGAGGGGCTTGATTTTTCTTCTATTTGTAGTGGTGAACATGTCCTAAAATTGAATATAGTAATGTACAACTTTAAATACACTTAGATTTTAAAGGGCTGAGTTGTGTGTAATATAAATTATGTCCACATAGTCTAAAGCTACCATTTCCTACATTTACACTGTAAAGCAGTTAAATCGAACATCCCTTGTTCTCCAATGCCTTACATTTGATGCTTTCCTGACTCACCAAGCATCTGTGTGAATTTTCTTTTTCTTTTTCTTTTTTTTTTTTGTTGATCGTGGGGCTTGAACTCTGGGCTTGGGTGCTATCTTTGTGCTCTCCAGCTCAAGATGAGCACTCTACCACTTGAGCCACAGTGCCACTTCTGGTTTTCTAGTGGTTTTTATTGGAGATAAGAGTCTCATGGACTTTCCTGCCCGTGCTGGCTTTGAACCACTATGCTCAAATTTCAGCCTCCTGAGTAGCTAGGATTACAGGTGTGAGCCACTGGCGCCGGGCTTGTATGAATTTTCTTACATAGACCCCAGTATCTGAATGTGTACTTTATTCCAAATACATCCTTTTTATCTCTGTTCCTATGTGAAGTGATATTTCCAATCTCCAAGTTTATATGTTCTCTAGCTCCAAAATGGTATTTACCATGTTTTACTGTAATTAAATCCTAAAATTCTAACCTATGGACTAAGCATCTTTTTCCCCTCTCTTTCTCTCTCTTGGCTTCGTGTTTCTAAAGACAAAGACAGGGGTTTGCTTGCTACAGGATGGTAATCAGGAACCGTTCAAAGTCCGGCTGCACCTAGCCAGAGATCTTCTGATTCTTCAGGAGCAGGATGTGATATGCGTGTCTGGTGAGCCTTTCTATTCTGGTGTAAGTAGCTCTTCCTTCTGTTGACACTTTGATTTGTTTTTGTCTGTTGCTAATGACAATGCTTATTCCCAGCCAGGCTATGGTGGTTTATGTCTTTAGCCCTAGCTACTCAGGAGGCTGAAATCTTAGAATCACAGTTCAAAACATCCTAGGCAACAAAGTCCATGAGACTCTTATCTCCAGTTAATCAGGAAAAGGCAGGAAGTGGAGCTGTGGCTCAGTGGTAAAATATCATCAGCTTTGAGTTTAAAAATAAAACAGTCAGGAGACATGGTTCAGAGTTCAAGCTTTGTTAGCAGTGCACACGCGTGCATGATTACACACACACACACACACACACACACACACACACACACACACACACCGATGCTTAGTTCCAGAAAACTGAAAAAGTATTTTTTCATTCATTTTATCACATTGCTAAGTTAGCTGGATATCCTTGTGAGGACCTTTCTGGGTCAAAGCATAATCTTTACAGCCTTTTGTCCCTTGGTGTCTACTGAGTCCTCTCTCTGTATTTTATAATCATGATGTAGTGTACCTTGACTTCTCCACAGCGCCAAAAGGAACTGTGCATGGTGGGGTCCTCAGGTCTGGTCCTATCTTGCACCAGCTTGAACTATTAGTGGAAATGCTAAGACAGAGCCCATGTCCCAATGTGAGCAAGACAGGAGGCTTTAGGTCCTGGTTGCTAAACTCAGATGATGCTTTCTCCCGAGGTTAGCCCTGAGGTGTGATAGAATGGTCTTTGTGTGCTTAGCAATTCTTTAGCTGTATAAATGATATATCTTGATGCTGTTAATCATCAAATCATCTTCCAAAAGCAACTGGTGTGCTTGATGGTACCAAAGCACAACAGTGGAAGAAAGTCCTTAAAGAATGGATTTTATTTGGTAAGAAGATGTAGAACAACACAGGGCAAGTTCTAGAGTATCATTCATGTTGTCATACCATTAAAAAGACCATTGTAACAGAATAGAAAAAATGTGATCTCCGGAGAAAATGGCAAGAAGTATCCACCTCTCTGCTCCATGGTTTCCCAGAAAACTGCAACTACTTAGCATGAAGATTTAATTTGCGCCTTCCTAACAGACTTCCCTGGGAGAGTTTGGCTGGTGTTGAATAATGCTGAACTGGAGTTTTCACATCACTACTTACTAACACCTTATGGGAGTCACACAAGGTCCTAAATCAATAGGCCTTTGCTAACAAAAGGTAATGGACATTTTGCAGACTGTTAACTATTCTGTTGTCACAGACCATTTAAATCATTCTGAATCATGGACTTAAATGTCAGGACTGATTAAACTTTTCCCATGGGGTTGTCCTTTTTTCCCCTTGCTAAATAACACAAAGATGTTCTATTTCTTCTTTTCTTTTCCTTTTTTTCAGGGAAGAGAAATGAGTCACAGAATATTCTGAAATGAATATATCATATTTTTAAATTAATTTAATTTTATTGTAAAGGTGATGAACAGAGGGGTTACAGTTACATAAATAAGGTAATGAGTACATTTCTTGTTGAACATTTCTTGTTACCCTCTCCCTTGTTTTCTCCCATTTTTCCCTCATTCCCCGATTCCTCTCCTCACCAAGTTGTAAAGTTCATTTCTAAGATAGTGTCTTGTGAATATTGCTGTTCACCCTTTGTCCTTTTTCTCACCATTTTGTGATTCCTCTTTCCTTCACCAAATCAGATAAACATATATACAAAAAAAATTAAAAAAACAAAAATCGGTGACAGCAGGGGATTAACCAAAGAGGAAAAATGAAAGAAAAAAGAAAGAACTTCACACAGTACATTAAAAAACAAAACAAAAAATCTTATTTGTGTATAGTGGAGTTCATTTCGGTTATTGTCATTTCATATAGTAATATGTACATTGTTAATGAGCTATTGTGATCCTCAACTAGGACTATCCTAGATATATACTAAACCACATTGATATTCTACCCCACCCTAGTTAGAATTGTCATTATCAAGACAACAAATAATGGTAGACACTGGCAGGGCTGTTGTCAAAAGGGAACAGTACTGCACTCTTGGTAGGAATGTAAACTGGTTCACCCACTCTCGAAATCAGTGTCGAGGTTCCTCAAAGACTAATCACAGAGCTCCCCTATGTCCCAGCAATTTTACTCCTGGTGATCCAACTGATCACAAACAAGGCCACACTAAAGCTACAAGCACAACTATGTTTATTGCAGCATAGCTAAGATATGAAACCAACCCAGATGCCCCTCAATAGATGAATGAATGAAGAAAATGTGGTATATATACACAGAGGAATTCAATGCTTCTATCAGAAAGAATGACATCACCCCATTTGTAAGGAAATGGAAAGACTTGGGAAAAAATCATGTTAAGTGAAATAAGCCAGACCTTAAGAAAGATAGGCTCCATGGTTCCCCTCATTCATGATAATTGGAATGCATATTTTAGTAACCAAGTCCTAGATCAGCAGTGTAAAACTGATGAAATTCAGGATGTAACAATAATGGTTTGTTTTCAAATTTTCAGTTAACACAGGGACCTTCTCCCTTCTCTCAAAGAAAGTATTATGTGTGTAAATGAGGCTTAGTATGTTCAGAAGAGCTCCACATTATGGAGAAACTTAGCATGGTAACATCAAAAGAGGCAAAAATATATAACAAAAAGCACCAAGTGCTTGTAACAGCATTTTCAGCAAACTATAAATAAAGTTTAGCTGATGATAAGTATGCAAGGAATGATTCCCACTGACTGTAGTACTCACTGAACATTCTCTCTGCAGTTGGAACAAGCTGCAGGTATTCATGTGCCTCCCTGGATATCACAGCTGACACAATATGTCAGGAAATTGATACAAATAACATAATAATTGTAAAGGAAGAGGTTTTCATCAATTTCATTATTTCAGACAGAGAAAAACCCTAAGAAATCCACAAAATGTAGAAAAACACATTTAGAAAGGTTGCTGAAAATAAGAACAACATACCAAATTAAATATATTCCCATTAAAAAACTACAAGCCATGAAAAAGTATAACAAAAAAGAAATTATACCAGGTGCTGGTGGCTTATGTCTGTAATTCAAGCTGAGACTTGAGAATCTTGGCTCAGAGCCAGATGGAGCAGAGAAATCCTTGAGGCTCTTCTATCCAATTAACCACTAAAAAGCCAGAACTGGAGGCATGACTTAAGTGGTAGAGTGTTAGACATGAGGAAAAAAAGCCAAGTGAGACTATAAGACCCTGAGTTCAAGACCCAATACTGCAAAGAAAAAGAAAAAAGGAAAAAGAAAAATATTTTACAATATATCAAGATGTGTTAGGAATAAGTTTATTTAGGAATAATATTTTGGGGGGAATAAATTTAATACAGCATATATATGCTACATTGCCTGAATACTGCAAAGACACTGGTGATAAAAATAAAATAAACAATTTCAATGGATAAATACAACATATTCATGAATTAAAGATTAAATATTAGTAAAATAATACCTTCCCAGATACTCCTAACTAGTCAAAACTTCAATGAGTTTTATGGCTATATCCAAAATAGATTTTAAATTTTCCTTGAAAATATGAAAATTCAATATTGTTAAAATCATCTTGAATAAAGAGAAATGACTGTAGCATTTATACTTCCTGATTTCAGAACTCACTGTAAAATTCCAATGATAACTGCAATGTGATATTGTCATAAATGAAGATGTATAGATCTGTACAAAGTTCTACATAGTTAAGAAATAGAACTGTTCTTACCTGGCCAACAGAATTCCTTCATTATGATAAGGTACATGTAACATAAAATTTACTATTTTTACCATTTGAGTGCAGATTGGTTGCAGAATATAGTCATGTTGTAGTGTAGCCAGCACCAGTATCTCTGTCAAGACTTTTAATCTAACTTACTATGAAACATTGTGCTTATAAACCAATAGTTCCCTTCTTTTCCTACCTCTAAGATCCTGGTTACCACTTATACACTTTATTTTATGCAAGTGAAGCCACACAGCATTTGGCCTTTATATCTTGCTTATTTGACTTACAGGAATGTCTTCAAGATAAACCCATATTGAAGAAAAGATCAGAATTCTATTTTTTGAAATAGAAAATGTACCTCCCTCATTTTTCCCACTTTCCCTCCCCTAATTCTTACCAATTGTATATACAATACCCATGCAGTGACAAGGGATAAACCATAGGGGAAAATACAAAAGAAAAAAGAAATCACATAGTACGTTAAAAACAACAAAGAAAAACATCTTGTGTCCATGTCTTGAAGTTCATTTCACTTAGCATCATCTTATATGGTCATATGTACATAGCTATTGAGTGATTCAGTTCATCTGTTAGGATTATCCTAGACATATACTAATTATTACAAATGAGGGAAACCATGGGTCCCTATGTTTTTTTGGGTCTGGTTTACTTCACTTAATATGAGTTTTCCAAGTCTTTCCATTACCTTACAAATGGGGTGGTACCATTCTTTCTGATGGAAGCATAGAATTACTATATATATATATTATATATATAGTATATATATAATATATATATTGTAATTCTATATATATATAGATGGAAACATAGAATTACTATATATATATACATATATATATGTATATATAATTTTCTTGATCCATTCATCTACTGAGGGGCATCTCGGTAGGTTCCATATGATAAATAATGTTACTGCTACAATGAGCATGGTTGTGCTGGTACCTTTTAGTATGGCCTTATTTGTGGTCATTTGGGTAAAGGCCTAGAAGTGGGATTGCTGGGTCATAAGGAGCTCTATGTTTAGCCTTTTGAGGAAACTCTATACTGTTTTCCAAAGACCTTGAAGTAAAAGCAGACACCCTGGAAACATTACAGGAAGGAGTAATAGAAACTCTAAGGCTCCTTGGCACGGGCGGTAATTTTCTCATTAAAGACCCAGAAACACAAAACTCAAAGAAAGGTTGAACAAATGGGATTGAATTAAATTGCAGAGCTTCTGCTTATTGAGGG